AGAGAAAATATATACGTCAGATAAGCTTTGTTCAGGCACAAGTTAAATTGTTGGCCATGAGTTCCATGTTAATGAATCAACAATATATACTAAATGTCTTTAAACAGAAACACACATAAAACAAGGTTATATATTGATCAGTTGACAAAAATGTTCTGACCAGACCTCACAGGAGCCTAATCCCCTATTTCCCCTAAAAGCAATGGTTCGCTATTCACTAATTCAGTGTTTTCTGCGCTTCATAGAACATTATCAAAAATAGTGAGAATCGACTCTAAATTCACAAATTGAGAGTAAGCGTGTAGAAACTTTCATAGCAATTTGATATTACTGTGATGTCCAAGCATGTGGTCATGTTTCTGGTCATTCTTTTTTATTGATTTTTAAAAATACCTGTCCATGACAAATTGGAAATTAAAAACCAAAACCAAAAGTGGTCCTTCAACATTGGTAGTTTAAGCAGCAATGCCTAGAGGACATATTGGTGGAAGTAGGGCTGCACTGACAGGGAGAACACACAGGATCCTTATGTACTAACATAAGCAAAAGAGATGTAGGCAAGAACTAAGGTGGTGGCAATAGAAGAAATGGATTAATTAAACCAGACAGACATGGAAGCAAAGGGAAGAGTAAACAATTACACTGGCATTTCTGGCTTGGGCAAAGGGTAGTGGTGTCATTCTTAGAGATAGAAGCAGCTTTGGGAAAGGAAATTATAAATTGTTTTGCAAATACTGAGTTTGAGGTGTTTATGGAACAATTAAGCAGAGAATCAATAGTTGTCAAAACCATTATCATTACTTACAGACATTTTATTATGAAAAAATAAAAATAAATCATTATCATTGATCTTGAATTTTACCACAAATACATGATTAAATGGTTAGATTATGAAGCAAGAAGTGTGGAATAACAGATAACATCCTGTATCTTTGGATGTAGCAGTTTTCTACTAGGAGGCATTATGGTATAATGGAAGCAGTATTTCCAAGCTTGTTTTCTCATCTGTAAAACAAAAATCCCATCAGCTACCTTGCAGGGTTATTAAAGTTATCAAACCTCTTTTCTGGAGCTCCAGCTTACCAATACCACTGTTACCAAAGGCTAGGAAGCTTACTTGGCAACAAAGAAACGGGACTAGCAGTTTTGTTAGATCAGAAGAGACATCGTCATCATTTAATACTAATATTTATGAGTGGGTACCATGTGCCAAACAGTAAATGCTTTACATATATGAATTCATTGAGTCTTCACAACAATCCTGAGGTACACATTATTATCACCCTCATTTTACAGATAAGAAAATTGAGGCAGGTAATAGCAAGTCACTCTGAAAGGCAGTACAGATGCAGGTGCCTCGTACACAATTCAGTGAACAAGGGAATTTGTTTCTAGAAATAACGGATTTCTAGAAAATGTGGATTTTAGGAGGAAGGAGGGAGGGAGAAAAGGAAGACTATGGTTATAATTATTGGAAGGAGTGTTACAGAATCTGAACACAAAAATATCCATCAGTGATGAAACCTTCTTGAGTGGGAGATACCACTCAAGGTCTCCTTGTTCCCAATCCTTTCTTTCTTTAGATTCTATGCCCTGCCCCTTCAGGTTTTGGACACCTTTTTTGATTTTCTATGTCCTCCTCGTTCCTCAACCATATTAGGGTAGCAGTCAAAAGTACAGGCTCTACAGTCAAACTTCAATAATAGTTGCGTTACATATCAACTTGCTTATCAACTTATGTGTATATATATATATGTATTTTTTTTTGAGGGTCTTGCTCTGTTGCCCAGGCTAAAGGGCAGTGCCATCATCGGAGCTCACTGCAACCTCCAACTCCTGGGCTCAAGTGATCCTCCTCCCTCAGCCTCTCAAGTAGCTGAAAGTACAGGCAACACAACCACACTTGGCTAATTTTTATTTTTTGCAGACACAAGATCTCACTATGTTGCTCAGGCTGGTCTCAAACTCCCAGGCTCAAGCAATCCTCCCCCCTCAGCCTCCCAAAATGCTAGGAGTACAGGTGTGAGCCACTGTGCCTGACCCAACATATGTACTGAAGTGAGCAAGTTATAAACCTCTCTGTGCCTCAGTTTCTTAAATGTAAAATGAGAATAATAGTAGTATCTATCTCATAAAGTTGTCAGAATTAATTGAAGTAACACATATAAGAAACTCAGAACAGTACTTGGCACACAGAAAAACCCCAAAAATATGATTATTATTAATATTATCCAGTTCCTCTAACAGTATAGTATATCCCAAATTTACATGAAAGTTGGTTGTCTGGAACACTGAATATTTCTTACTGCAGAACATTTCAAGTGGGGTCCTTCTGTCTGTCTTCACTGTCCTGTCCTAGTGCAAGCCCATCATAGAGTTTTGCAATTGCCTACTAACTGTTCTGGCACTCTATGGCAGTCACCATACCTCCAGCAGTAATATTTATAAAGGTCTAATCACTCCCTTGCTTAAAAGTTCTCAATAGCTCCCTGCTGCCTACAAATACACAAGGCCCTTTACAACCTGCCTTTAACCTTTGTTCGCAGTTTCACTTCTAGTCACTTCTCTGAACAGCTAGAGCCATAGCAGATGATTTATTTTGTGTGAAATAGGCCATGAATTTTAAGAGACTGTATGCCACTGTGTATGCTTTTCCCTATGTCTGAGAAAACTGTCCTCTCCACCTCTGGGCCTAGAAAACTATTCATGCATCCAAGACCTAGATAAAATGCAACCTTATTCATTTATCCAACAAGAAAATTTATTAAATACCAAAATGTGCAAGGAAGACCCTATGAAAATAAGCAAGACATAGTTCTACCATTTGGGTAACTTATATCTATAAGGAGGGAGCTATGTTAAAATACAACATAGAAGGAAGCAATGCCTAAGCTGGGTTCCAGAGGATATGGCTTTCTATGTCTCTATCCTCATATTCCTAAATTAGACCATGATCTTGATAACTATCTTTTAATAGTACTCAATATATTGTATTGCATTCCCAGGTTTAATATATGTCTTCCCTAAAACTGAAATTCTAAGGCCAGAATATATTCATCCTTCGGATCCTCAATACCTAGACGGTAGCTGAAACAAAAATGAAAACAATTGTTCACTGAACTAAATTGAATAATTAGGTTTCCATATCAGCCAAAAGCCTTTTCAACTTATAATGTAACTGATCTATAATAGCAAGAGAACCTTAAAACCTAATAATGCATTGAGAAATAAGAACATTTCCAACTTGCAATTTATCTAGTACTTGAATAGGGAAATCCAATTTCTGGCCACGCCTGCAATCCTAGCACCCTGGGAGGCCAAGGGAGGAAGGCTTGAGGTAAGGAGTTCAAAACCAGCCTGAGCAAGAGCGAGACCCCACCTCTCCTACAAATAGAAAAAATTACCCAGGCAACTAAAATTAGAAGAAATTAGCCAGGCATGGTGGCAAACAGCTACTCGGGAGGCTGAGGCAGGAGGATCACTTGAGCTCAGGAGCTCGAGGTTGCTGTGAGCTAGGCTGACGCCACTGCACTCTAGAGTAGCAGGAGAGCGAGACTCTGCCCCTCCCCCCAAAAAAAGAAGTCCAATTTCTACCCAAATTTGTAAGCAGTACTGACATTTTGCTCACGTAGAAAAATGTAGTAATTTTTCTTTTTTGGACAACACCGCTTTGAACTAGTCTATCGAGCTTTTAAGAAATTATCAGAACCAGAAGTTCTAATTCCTAATCAACAAAAAGTTTGTTTTCCTTAACTTCTTTGTCACGGGATGAGGACTGCCATAACCTAGGGACTGCAGTAGCATATGACAGTTTCTTCTCAGTCCTGGAAGTCTAGGTTCATTCATTTGTTTACTGTGAAAGACCCACTATGCAACAGGCACTGGGGATACAGCAGTCTCTACTTTTACGGAATTTATATTACAGTTGGGAGAGACACACAGCAAATATACGTCAGATCGTTTGAGAAGTGCTAAGAAAAAGTAAAGCAGGGTAATAAGTCAAAAAGTGAAGGCAGGAAAGCAAGGAGAAGGGTAGCGGTGGTACATTAGATAGGTGGTCAGGGACCAGTCTCTCTGATAAGGCACTGGATCAGAGGCTGAAGGAAGTGAGGGAGAGAGATAGATGCAAGAATCTGAAGAGTACTCTAGGCTGTGAAGCCAGCAAGTGCAGAAACCCTGACGTGGGAGTATATTTGACGTGTTAAACAAACCCCAAGGACATCAATATGGCTAGATTATGGTCAATAGTTTGTGAGGGGCAGACCGACAGATGATGAGAGACAACCTGAGCCAGATCATACAGCCCAAGGATTCCTGATGTTATACTAAGCTGGAAAACCACTGCATCATCTCAAGCAGATAAGTGACATGATGAAACATACTATAAAACAATAGCTGTTTTGTGGGTATCGGCTAGTATAAAGGAGCAATATCTAGGCAATAGGAAATCAGGGATTGTCTGTAATTTCTTGTTACCTAAGAAGTTGGTGCCAAGAATGATAATAAAGAGGAGCAGCATGGACACACAATAGTTGAAGGCCTCAAAATACGTCCTTCATTCCTTTCATTATCAAGCGTCTCTGAGAGAGATCGTTAACAAATGCTTGTATTTATTCCACCTTTACCACCTAACTCTTCTTTCATTCACTAGTATTCAGTCTCTAAAACACGCACGCATTTACCGCACCGGAAAAAAAAAAAAAAAAAGCCATGTACACCATCCTTCTTCCTCTTAACCTCTTTTAACCTTTGGCTCCTTAATGAGATCCATCCCACTCCTGGAATTTCAAATACCCCCTTCCCTTCATCCTTTGCTATGGTAAGTTTCTCGGTAGCAGCAGCTGTTTCCCCCGTTTTCATTAGTAACAGCAACCCCGAAAATACGTCGTGCCAGGAAAAAACCCAGGAGGCTAGGAACAAATGCAGTCGCAACCCCTGCTTCCCGCGAACTCAGCCCGGCCTTTCCTCCTGGGCGCCAAAGCTTGGCCCTACCACATTACCTTCGCTGTCGGAAGCGTCTTTGACCTCATCTTCCAGCTCCGATGCTATGGCCCTGGCTTCCATTTTCATCTTCTTCTTGGGGGACTTTTTCAGCTTTTCCCCTGCATTCACATGTGAGTCCTGAACGGCCGCAGCCATTTTTCCGCGACGGAAGCGTCACCTGACAGTTGCTCCGGGTGGCAACGAGAGAAACTTCAGCATCCAGTTCCGGTGACACACAGTTCCGGGGCGGGATCGCCTAGCCCGGCGTTCCGGGGTTGGAGGCTCGGAATGTGGATTGGAGGGAGGTCTGAATCTCTTGATGTCTTTAAGTGAAGTCCGTTCCAGGATAAGAATCAGTCATTGAATGGGCTCAACCGGCTCCTCGGCTAACTTGCCCTTGCCTTGGTCCGCTGCCCCAATCTGGCCCCAGCCACGCTCGGTCCACCTTCATTTCCTCCCCTCGGCCACTTCCCTTGTCCGCTGCCTTACTTGACATTGGTTTGGGATGCTGCAGAAGCGTCCCTCAGTGCTTACTGAATGTCTCAGCATCTAGGAAGCACGGAAAATGCGTTCGGCATCGATCATTAGAATATGATATCATCCCCTCCCCACCACCACCACCAACAAAGATAACACAACACTCGAGACCCTTCCTGAAATTTTATTAATCTCCTGATTAATCCTTCCTTTCAGTGGCTTCCAATTACAAACCGAATAGAATCTCACTTTCTTTTCCTGGGTCCCACCCTTCTCCCTTGGACCTGGCTCTCGGGCTAGGCGAGTTTGTGGTGCAGAGGGAGCGAATCCCTCGCTATTCCCGCGAGGCTCCTGCCTGCCTCCCCCGGCCAGCTTCTCTCGGAGGTCAGCCCTGTCACATGCTCTCTCAGCCCCGCGTTCCATCAAACCAGCTACCATGATCTACCCCCATGTTTTCACCTAAAATGTTGGCTCATGAAGGGAGGGACCGTACATATTTCATGCTCTATTGTCCCCCCAAGATAAGCAACAGGACAGGCTGTAGTAGGAGCTCAAAGATATTTTTGGAAGGAATGAATCAATGAATGACAGAATACAACTATTGACAAGGTTAATGCTTCAGACAGATAACAGCAAACCTTTACAGGCCAGGCATGTTTTAAAGGCTTTCCCTCAATTTAGAGAGATTCTTGGGCCCTGCCGGGTGGCTCATGCCTGTAATCCTAGCACTCTGGGAGGCTGAGGCGGGAGGATCCCTTGAGCTTAAGAGTTCAAGACCAGCCTGAGCAAGGGCAAGACCCCATCTTTACTAAAAAAATAAAATAAAATTAGTCGGGGTGAAGGACTAACACTACCTAATTTCAAGACTTATTATAAGCCTTGAAACACAGCAATCAATATTGTGTAGTCTTATGTTAAGGTAGACAGAGCAGTTGAACAGAAGAGGCAAGAAATAGACACAAACGTATGAAAAACTGATCATCGACAAAGGTATAATCTTGAGCTACAACACAACATGGGTGAATTGGAAAATAATCATGCCAGACACCAAAAGAGTGCATACCATATGGTTCCAGTTATATTAACGTCTTAGAAATGTAAATTATCCTATAGTGATCAGTGGGTACTATGGAGGTGGGGGGCTTAGGCACAAAGGGGCAGGGTTATCAAGAGGCATAAGGAAGCTTTTTGCAGTGATGGATTTTTATTACCTAGATTGTGAAAATGGTTTCACAGCATATACATACGTCAGAACTTATCAGATGATACACTTTAACATGTGTGGCTTACTATAAGCCAATTGTGCCTTAATGTAGCTGATAAAAAAATTACACCAATGACTAAGGAAATACATAAAATAACAAATACAAATACAAAAACCGTATGGTTTCACTGACAGTTAAGGTCATGTCCATTTGCTTTTGTTTGTGTTTTAGTCTCGTGTGACTACTGTAACAATTTAATACAAACTTGGTGACTTAAAGCAACACAGATTTATTTCCTCACAGTCATGGAGGTCAGATGTCCAAAATCAGTTTCACTCTGTAAAGTCGAAGTATCAGCAGGGCTGTTTCATTCTGCTTGCTGTAGGGGAGAATCCATTTCCTTGCCTTTTCTAGCTTCCAGAGACCATCTGCCTCCCTTGGCTCATAATCTCCTCCTCGCATCACTCCTCTTGCTTCCATTGTCACATATCCTGCTCCTCTTCTGCAGTCACATCTCCCTCTGCCTCCCTCTGGCAAGGCCCCTTGTGGTTGAGTGTAGGGCCCACCTGGACAATCCAGGATACCCTCTTCATCGCGAGATCCTTAATATAATCACAGCTCCAAAGTGCCTCTTGCTACACAGATGCTCCTCAGTTGACAATGGAGTCACACAGGCCAAAAATGTATCGAATACACTTGATCATCGTAGCTTAGCCTAGCCTACCTTAGATGTGCTCAGACACTTACGTTAGCTCACAGTTAGGCAAAATCACCTAACACAAAGCCTATTTGATAATAAAGTGTTGAATATTTTATGTAATTTGTTGAATACTGTACTGAAAGTGAGAAACAGAATGGTTGCACGGTGTCTTAGTTCATTTTCTTTTGCTTATAACAAATTACCTGAAACTGGGTAATTTACAAAAAAAAGCCATTTATTTCTTATAGTTATGGAGGCTGAGAAGTCCAAGGTTGAGGGGCCGCATCTGGTGATGGCGTTGTTGCTGGTGGGGACTCTGCTGAGTCCCAAGGCAGCACAGGACATCACAGGGTAAGGAGGCTAGCTCAGGTCTCTGTTCCTCTTCTTATAAAGCTACCAGCTCCACTCCCATGATAATCCACTAATCCATTAACCTATTAATCCATTAATCCATAAATAATTAATTCATTCATGAGGGCGTAACCCTCATGACCCAAATCACCTCTCTCAATACCGCCACATTGGAGATTAAGATTCAACATGAGTTTCCAAACAGACAAACATTCAAACCATAGTATACGGGTACTCAAAGTACAGTTTCTGGCTGGGCGTGGTGGCTCACTCCTGTAATCCTAGCACTCTGGGAGGCCGAGGCGGGCGGATCCCTCAAGATCAGGAGTTCAAGACCAGCCTGAGCAAGAGTGAGACCCCGTCTCTACTAAAAATAGAAAGA